GATGCAGTTGATGGAAAATTAAATTCATGAAATTGCTACCAATGTCAATAGAAGAGTTCAGGACTGCATTAAATAGATGCTGCTTAAAATTCCCCCTAACATCTGATGAGGTGTGGAAAGTCTAAGTGTGTACATGTCATCATTTGTGCTAAGGAAGGTTCAGCATACTACTGGAAAGGTCTTAATAACATTCTAATGATGTTTCTGTACAAGTACCTTGAACTTACTGAACATGTTAAGAAAATGAGGTGGCGATCTCACGCCTTTGTCAAAACAGATGTCCCTCCCACCAGCAAAGGCATTTTGCATAGCTCAGAAACAAACACACCACTATAAAGTGAATACATAAGAAAGCTATAAAAAATTTATCCTACACGCACAAAACTTATTTTTAAATTTGAAACGCATGACGAAAGTGAATGAGTATAAGGATTACTAAATCGAATCAACGAGCTGCTTTGTTTATAAAAACTCAAAACAGCAGACTGTCAAAAACAGGAGAAATACCTATACATTCCTCACTATAAATAAACATATAAGAATTTCAGTAGTAATAGTTTTTTGAATAATTTTTAAAGCATCAGTTTTTGGAATTTATACAGGCAACTGGGCGTAACAACTCTATTTCAGTTCCATAATGCCCTTGTCCATAAAACAGATGAAAGGTGTAAGAGGCAGAATTGAAACTGAATTTATAAACACAAGCAATGAAATCAGGTTACCATATTTTTACACGCAGCATCATACTTACACAGTTTGACCAATGTGGCTGGAAAAACTTTGCAAAAATGCCAAAAATATTATATATTTATTCAGATTTAATCTTTTACACAAGAAAATATATAATTTTATAGCAATCTCACCTTATATTAAATCACTAAACAGGACTCATTTAAGCAATAACACACAGTATATTTTAAATTATTAAAAATACACAGAATTTTAAAAATGCTTTTTTAAGAAATTATAGTCTGACATCTTTAAAAAATGGACCTGCATAAAATGCAATTTTCAGAAGTGATTACTAGCCGCCAACTGCTACCAATTTCACAGAATTAGTCTTGTTAACCCGAAGCATAAGCTCTATATAGAAAATATATGTTTGAAAAAAACACAATTTTTTCAATTTTCTTTATTGGCAGCATTTGACTTCAAAAATTAAAATGCTTCTCTTTTTCAGTTATTAGTTCCTTCTACATACTAAGGTTATTTTCAAAGTTGTCAGACTATAGCTGCAGATCTGTTAAAAACATCGCATTCATCTTGAACATACTAGCTGCCTAATTTGTTACATAACCTATTATTATCCTCATAATTATGAAATTATATAGCAGAGAAATCTGTATAAATATTACAGCTCAAAGTACATTAAAGCATATTTCTTGATCTGAGTAGAAACTATACAAGCTCCTCTTAAATGAACTTCTTTCATATTAACTGCTATCTTTTGCAAAAACATACCAACATGATATTAAAAAAAATTATGAACGGCTTTGAAAGTGATCAAAAGAACAACAATTTGAAAGAAACTAATTTTTAAGGTCACAATTTGTAACTTCGAGCAACTGTTCATTTAATTAGCTTACCTTTTTCATTTCTCATAACATTTTCCCTTTTGGTCATGCAAAACGTTTTCATTTGGTGTTCCATATCATTAAAACGATAAATGCGGAGCTTCTATTCTCAAATTTCAGAAATTCAAATTTTTTAACAGAATGCTGACATGTAGAATCAAAATTAATAAATATCTCAGCAAACAAAATTTTTGGTCACACTGATTTTTTTGGGGAGGGGGGGGTATTTCCTTCATGGTTCATTTTCCTTTTTCTGTGTGTGTCTGCTATACAAACACTCACTTCCTTTGATTATGAACTATGGTACTCAAAATTAATAACTTCTTTCAGCAATGTGCTTTCTTCAGTTTCAGCTCAGAGTCTGACTGCATTTAAAAAAATTCATCCAAGAGCATACATAATGCACTTCAATACTTTAGGGTGCACATACACAGTGAAACAGAGATTTTTAACAAAAAGTTTTTAAGATAATTACTTCGATATATAACAGTGGCTTTTCTTTTTAAAATGTTTTTAAAGACAAATATATCAGCAAAAAGAAAGATTTACATATTGGAAATAAAACCATATATGTACTGTACACAAAGTTTCTTTCTACTGTATCAGATGTAAATTCTTTTATCTTTAGATGTCTAAATTTCAGAGTACATCACTTAAACAAAAATAACTTGTATACATTTCCTCTTGCAGTTTGTTTGTAGAAAAGTTACTTCATCCATATGATGTTAGCAACTTCACTATTTTTAATTACAATGGAAAAACTTTATTTTTTGCATAGAAACAAAGACAATTTGTTTTTGAAAATGTTTTAAATTGCTAGTATTCATAAAATGTTATGTCTGCTTAAAAAGTTCCCTAGGCCTTCATTCATAATATAACCAATATAAAAATGCATGCATTTAAGATTATGCACTTAGATAAGTTACTTATATTTGAAATATATTACCAGATGCATTAAATTTACAGTAAACACTTGCCAAACGAGACAGCTAAATCATTAATACATTGCACATACGGCATAATTACATTCCCCGAAGTTTACTTTCCATGAGAAAAGTGATTTAGGTATAATTCAGATTAAGAAAGCATGTATAATTTAAACAATCCTATACATTGTTGTAATTAGACAAAAAAAACAAAACAAATATTAATTGAAAGTATTTTAATTCTTAATGAAGTACAAAATAAAATTATTTTTTTTAAAAAGCTGGTGATTTTTGCTAGAGACAATGATTAGCACAACTCTTCAAAAGTTTCATGGTAAAAAGCAAAGAGGCTTTCATTGCTTCTCATATAAAGTGTCTTCTGCTTTTCTATTAGCTTACTTAACCTCCCCTTCTGAACACGTGACTCGAAAAAATATTCTTCTTCTTGAAGGTAGAATTTCGATGCACTACGCAATAGAATTTGATTTAGATTTTAGCTGGAACTATTCAGTTCTTGCCTTTTGAGCATTAAATATTCGATTCAGGCATTTTAGCCTACATTGTATATATGTAAATATTAAGTTTAATTAAAATTTATGGAAAACCCTCCAGGCCATGCATCTCATTTTTTGGATTATGAGTGATTCGACTTTGATCTAGAACTTTCGTTACACCTATTTTAACATTTTGCTTAACTTCTTGTAAATTAAAGGTGCTTTGCCTTCTTCATTTTCACTGCTTTCACAATCTGTTGATGTTGCAAGATCATCCAGTTCTTCATTCATCATTTCTTGATTAATAATGTGACTTCTTATTCTTCTATATCTAAAAATCCCTAAATGTCAATTGCTTTTGCAATTTGTATGCTTTCTTTGGCTTCATTTTCAATCGATGGAAATTCTTTAAAATTTTTGATAACTCTGGAAGAGCTGATGCCAAACAGCATTCGGTACTGATGAATGAACGTTGAACAATGAAATGAAAACAATCAAGACAATGTGTATGTGCGAAATAGGATTCTGTAAAACCCCGTTTGGCAAGGGTTTACTGTACTAGCAAACATTAAAACGGAATTTGAAAAGTTAAAAAAAAAAAAAAAAAAAAATTCTTTGGCAATGAATTTTGAAGGATGTTATATATATTGTGTACATTTCTGAAATGCAGCAGTACAACAATAACAGTCTACAAAATAATGCAATGAATAGGAGTACTTAGCAAACACACAAAAATGTTACTAAGGTATAAAAAGAAAAAAAAAATCAAGAAATTTAAAAGTGTAGAATATCTTGAACTGCAAATTTCAATCAATTTCTTTCATTAGAATAGGCAGAGTTTACTACTCAAAGTCTTGGTAACTTTTGTTGAACTGCACTTTTATGTACAATTTTACATAAACATTACTACATACTTTCTACTTACAATCATGGAAGTTTCTGTGGATGCATATTACATTTCTCTTTATGCAAGCAATACAGAAATTTAATGATATTTAAAAATTACCTAAAATGAAGTAGTAAAAAAAATAAAACATTTGAATTTTGCATATCACACTATTAAACTTTTATGAAAATCAGATTGCACATCTATAGCTGTTACAGCCCATGTTAAGTCTGCAAACTGAAAAACATTTCAAAATGAAATAATTTGAAGGTTGAGACAAATTTATTCAAATTTTACACAAAAATTTAGGGGGTAGAATGATGATAACATTTCAATTTCTTTTAATGCTTTGTTCAATGTATCTGTTCTATACATAATTCTATATTAAATCCATAATCCAAAAATAGTAAATGTGCATTTCAAACTTTGCTAAATTTTCTCATTTAGTACCTATGTGTACGGCAAAAATTTAGTGCCACAGTTTTAAGACTGTATATTATATTTTAGAGGATTCTTATTCAATGTGATTTTAAACATTACTGTACACTTAGAAGATTTATTTTATGGTCACTGAGAACTGATATTAAAATTATTTAAATATATTCACAAAGCGCTTTTGAAATATTCTAAACTTGAATCCAGTTGATACAGTGTTTTCATGTGCATCCATGAAGTTTAAATCTTGCAAAATAACCAGTTCATCACAACACAGTTATTAATCATCACGAAAAGCAATTTTCTCATGAATTGAGCTGAAAAATTAAATGCTGGTAATACAATTCAGAACACTGATTACCTTTGTAATGTTTCTGCAAACAAATTTCTGTGAAAATGCCTATCTATTGGAACAGGAATTTTTAAGACACTAATGCTACAAAATTAGAATATTTAAAAAAATTTTCTGTGCTTTATTTTCATGCTGAATAAAATTATCTTTACATCATATTAAAGAAACTAGTTAATGTTTTCCTTATAAATAGATATACTTATCAGTGACGAATATAACATAAATATATAAAATTATCACATTTATAATAAAGATTCATAACAAATAAATGCATTCAAAATGGGAAATATATTCTACAAAATACAAATTAAAACTGTGAATAAGAAAATAAAATTCATCACAGTTAAAAAATAGAACTTTATTCATATTTCATTATATGATCACTGCAGAGCTTAAGATTCAAGGGAGGGGATATCATAATTGAGTCCAAAAACATCACAACATAAATCTATATACAAGGGAATAAAACATTTAACTTAAAATAAAAAGCACTGCTAAACATACGCTTTGATTGAAAATATTTAACAATCTGAATAAAATAGGAATATGACAATCAGGCACTCTTTTGTAAGAGATTTGATAATTTTAAGTGACCTTTACGCAGCTCACTCAGCTTCTCAATTTAAAATATACATTGCGCAATGGAGGAGGAAAAAGATTAAAATTCCATTATTGGCTGGTACGGATTGCATGTAAATCTTCATAAGCAGACAAAAGCTGAGCTAAAATGATTTTCTATCTTGAGAGTGTAAATGAATTCACAAACACCTGCATTCAATGTATGTGTGTGTACAAACAACTCTCATAGTTAAATATTTCCTACTTAGTTTTCCCCAACAGGCATATTTAATGGAGTTACCACAACTTGAACCACAAATCCAGATTGTAATTTAGCTTCCTCTATTTTCATTTTGTCATGTAAAAGACGACCACCAAAATACCAGCGCTGTCTAGATGGATCAATTAATTCAACAGCTTGTAAACGCTTTTTACAAGTTAATACAGTCTCACCAGTTCTAATAGCTAATTTTGTGTCTTTGCCACATGTAGAAAGACGAAATTTCAGAGTTATTTCTTCCCCACCTTCACTCCAAGGTTCACTTTCAGCAGCTGGAGATTCAGATTCATTGGTTTCCTCCACTAAATTAATTGGAACACTTAAACAATAAACTGGCAACTGGTACCTGTTTCCTAGCTCATCATAACAGTCCATCAGAGTACCTAAATAATAAATGAATGTGTATTTAGGAGATTTAAATTTCGAAACACAGATTTCTTTCAGCAGAATGAACAAAAAATTTTTTGAATAACTAATCTAAATGGATTTTTACTGACATTAACAACATATCACATTTACTTCAAATTTAAAGTAAGCAACTACACTGAAGAGCCACCACTGAAGTCAATAATGAGTTGGGCTTCCTTTGGCCTTGATAATGGTTGCTACACAACGAGGCATAGATTAAGTAAGTTTGCGGAAGCATTCTACGGGAATGGCTTGCTAAACAACAGATAGAACTGTCCACAATTCAGCAGGAGTCGCTAGTGTTGTGTGATGTGGTTTCACACCATTCCTCCAAAACACATGAAAGGTGCTCAGTAGGATTTAAGTTAGCACTTCTAGATAAACAATTCATGACAGAGAAGTCAGAGGAGTGCTGAGAAGGCAGTAGCCAAATGGAACCTGTGAGAGGTGCAGTTATCTTGCTGGAATACTCCATTTCCATGTGAATGATAGAACAACATTAATGGATGGAGATGATCGCCAGACAATGTTATATATCAAATCATACTGAAGGAGAATGGTACAAGTGCCAGATTCCAAACACCGAAAACAGAAAACACCCCAGACCATGACTGAGGTACCATGACCTTGTTCAGGTCCAACCTGGCATGCAGGATCCATGGCTTCATAAGCCCGTTGCCATATTTTCAGCCTCCCATCAGTGCTAAGTACTTGGAATCAAGCCTCGTCACTCCATGTTACTTGTTTCCAATCTTCTAGAGTGCATTCTGTGTTTTCTGCCCAGGCAAGTCGTGCAGCTCAATGGCATGTATTGCGCAATGGTACTCTTGTGGGTCTATACCTCTTGAAGCTCACATGGCAGCATTGCACAATCCGTTTACTGACTATAACCAGTTCCCTGATTCAGATAGTGGTAATTTGAGCTATAGTTTGGCTTCATTGGCTATGTAATAATACAGTTGATCTGTCTCAAACCACATTCCTTCAAGGTTAATTGCCCTTTGCAATTTGCCCTATTGTTAGTTTCTCCCCAACCATTCGTATAGTACTCTTGACACTCAACCTTGAACATATTGAAAATCCTAGCCCTCTGATGATTTCAGAAATCAAATGGGTCACGAGTCAAGCGCCTACTATTTTTCTGCAATTGAAGATGTCTAAATCAGAAGCTTTAAGTATACTGATAATTGAAACAACTGATTTACAACAACCACAGTATTAGGTATATATGCAGTTACCACAATGCACTCACATGAGCATAAATGTGGTACAGCACTACAAAACTTGCACAGCCATGTCTATCCCTTAATTCAGTGGCACTTCAGTGTAATTGTGCATATAGTTCAAGTATTTCATTAAAATCATTTCAAGTTTAGCTAAATTTTATTTATTAAAAAGCATCTAAGCATATTTATTTCTTAGGCAACTTTTATGGAAGCATAAAAAAAAAAAAATTGAGAATATGTGGTATTGTAAAACAATAACAAGGCACAAACAAATTTTTATAATACAAAGTACTAACTAACAAAGTAAGTTAACTTTCAAAATAACAAAGTACTGATTCTTAATCACCACGTTGTGGTGTTACAGACACTGATATTTCCTTATTTGATAGAAATTTTATTATTGGTAAATAATACTACTAATCTCAGTTCCTTTTAAAAACCATGGTCTTGGCCTGTAATGCAGTTATTTACTGAAGCAATGCAACTGATTTAGTCCTTTAAAAACTCAGCATGCTCTCTACGATCCTATGCGGTGCTTTCACCAATTATGCATTATTTTATATGTATATGCTTTTCACATATTTGAAAAAGTGCACTCTAGGAATTCTGATTTTAATTCAAAATGTACTGCATCATAAAAAAATGTGAGAACAAAAAGAACAAAAATTAGAATATAGTTTGAAAAAATATGATCACAGTTCTGAAAGTGAAATTTATGAGAATAATCTATACAGAAATGAATGAAGAAATCATGAAACAGAAAAAAAAAAAAAAATAATAATAAGGTGACTAAATATTACTAAATTTCAAACAGCAAAAAATAAACTGAGATAAATTTACCACACAATTTTCTAAACAAAAGTATGGTTGAGCAAGCTAACACTCTTCTTAACCCTTTGCGGCTCAGTGTTCCACTACATGGAACAATCAAATTGAATCGTTTCTGAAACCTTTAAATTCAACCGTAAATAGATAAAAATACTTTTATAATATACTCGGAACTTTTCTTTTTAAACAGTAGATAGCAGCATATCACAAGGAGACATAGAATTTTCATTTATTATGTGTTATTAAAATCCACTTTTTTTCAAGTAATTTTCTCTATTTTTTAATGATATAAAAAATTTTATTAGGAAAAAAAATTAAGCATAATTTTGCTGGCTGTACTCCAAATTATTTGTTCTATATTTTTTTTAAATCTTTCATACAAAAACCATATGCAGAATAATAGAATAAAACCGGGTGTTCCATTAGCGGGAACACTGCGCCTTTAGCGATATCATGCTGTTACGAATCAGAACATCCGTTGTTTTTGTTTTCTGTTTCCGCTGTTTTTTTTTGGGGGGGGGACAAAGCAGTATTGAGGGGTGAGGTCTGTTTTGTGTTATGAAAGCCTAATATTGGCATCTCGAATTTTTTGGGAGTAGTTTTTAGGCAGGAATTTTATTAGTAGCTTGATTCATCTTTACTTAGACCTGTGCGAATTTTTTGCTGTCGCTTTTTAGTCTCATTCCCGTTTATTTTCAATAATTGCGTAGATATTTTTCGTGTATGTATATATTTTAGGCTTATTTTTCTTCATTGTTAATATTAATCGTAGTTATTTTTTTATTATTAATTTTCTATAAATGGCGCGGAGAGGTCTAACTCTTTCCGAAGCACTAAAAATGTTTCATGAATTACCCTCGGATTACAGCCCACAGATTTCCGTTTAAATTTGCTGTGTTCCCTCTGTACCATGAAAGCGCCAGAGATAACTTTCAAGAGCCGACTTCCTTCAAGACCTGAAGATACTCCCAGGCATAAAGTAAAGGTTTCTGGGGGAAAAATGCTACAGTAGTGTTGAACACATACCGGTGAAGAGTACGTGTAGACGATGTGCACATTGTAGCAGGAAGCAGAAGCTGCACAAAACAAGTTTTATGTGCAAAACCTGCAAAGTTGGTTTGTCTTCCATCAAAAAGGTGTGACTTGCTTTGAACAATTTCACGAAGCTAAGAAATAGGAAAATTTGTAAATATTTTTGTACAAGGTGTGTTCGAAAAGTTCGGTGAATTTTACTATAAAAAAAAGGAAACAAGAGAAACAAGCAAAATAGCTTTACTGGCCTTCAAAGTATTCACCATTAGCAACAATACACTTTTGACATCGGGTGTACAATTGTTGGAAACTGTCGGCAAACGCTTCTTTCGGTATGGCTCGAAGCACCGTTGTCACACGTTGATGGATCTCAGTAATGTCGGCCTTCCAGAACTCCTTTGAGGCCGGGAAACAGAAAGAAGTCCACGGGAGCCAGATCTGGAGAATATGGAGAATGATCTAAAACTGGAACCTGGTGCCTGTCGAGGAATTGGGTTACATGGATCGCAGTGTGCGGCCGGGCGTTGTCGTGGAACAGATTCCACTGTCCATTCCGGTACTGTGGCCGAATCTGGCATATGCGTAGCAGCAGCCGTTTCAAAACCCCCTCGTAGTATTCTGCATTGACGGTTGTAGCCGCGGGTACAAATTCATGATGGATCAAACCCTTACTGTCAAAAAAGATGATCAACAACGTGTTGATCCTGGATTGTGTCAAACGACTTTTTTGGGAGGAGGTGACGATGTTGAACACCATGCCATGGATTGCCGTTGGGTCTCCGGATCGTATTGATAGCACCTTGACTCATTCCCTGTAATTATTGTTTCCAAGAATTGCGGATTCTGGTCACACATGTCGATAAAATCTCCAGAGGTTTCCATCCGGTATTGCTTTTGCCGGGCGCATATCTTACGTTTATGCAAATGTTTGTGCACAATGGTGCTCACACTGTCTAGGCTTATCTGCAATTCGCCAGCTATCATTCTCAAAGATAGTCGTCGATCTGCAGTAAGCATCCGTCGAACTCGTTCCACATTGTCTGGAGTTGTGCTTGCTGTAGGGCGCCCCGACCGCGGTTCATCTTTGACATCCTCCTTTCCGTCTGTAAAGCGTTTAAACCACTCATAAACAAACTTTTTACTCACTGCTTCCTGACCATAAACTTTCACTAACATGTCGTGTCTCCATCGCAGTTTTGCCTAACTTGAACCAAAACTTTATGTTTATGCGTAGCTCCATGTCACACTGACAATCTTTCTCACACTGACTGTGTTAAACTGCTCATAGCGTGCGCTTCCTCTTATCTGTCGTAAAATGGCCATTCGATGGCTCTAGATGACATTTCTCTCACTGCGTCTGCGTGAGTGCAAGATCCTAACCAGCGCGGTTTTTTAATTATGAGACCAATCACTGAACTTTTCGAACACACCTTGTATATAGGACTTGTGTACATAGATATTTATCTCATTTATCAGTATATATTCAAGAATATTGTGTATATCCAGGAAACCATGTATACAGCCATAATACAGAGTTTTTTCATTCTTATACAAACGCTTCTACTCATTTTTGTGCTTCACTGCAATGCTCGCTTAGTTGCACTTTTAGAAGCTCTGGCGGCGCAGTGTGGAACACCCACAGAATTAAAACGTTCAGTGCAATTTTTACAAAATTTTACCTGTATACTCCTTTAGGATTAAATAGACTGCATACAACTGTTTTTGTTGAAATTCTGACGTTAACGTATAGTGCGCCACAAAGGGTTAAAGTGCCAGAATGAGATTAATAGACAAACGAGAAATTCTGATTGCAGCAACAAATATTTAATATTATGAAAACGTGTGCAGGTCTGTCTGTTTGCAACATCATCTCCTCCAGAACATCACAG